TACCCAGTGGCGCCGAACAGGTACCTTAGGTAGTTCAATTGAACTGCCGTAAAACATGGGTAGGTGGGTACCCAGAAAAATATCCCCTTGAGAACTTGCCGATGCTTATAATAATTGATGTGTAACTTATTGGTTATTGGTTATAATTAATAAAACACTTATGTATAACGTAGATAGGTATTACAAACAATTATTAATTAATTAATGTATGTTCTGATGTTCAATATCTAACAGTGGTGAGGACGGAATTGGCTGTTGATCAGTATTAAACGAGGGATATTAGTTATATTTAGAGGCGAAGCTTGTGTTCTGAATAAAGGTAGACAAATTCTACATATTTTTAAAATATTTTAGAAAATTGATTAACCCATGAGTGCCTGTAGTAAAAAAAAATACTAAAATAGCTCAAAGTATGAGACATTAGGGTCATTTGGTACCCGYTTTGTCAATTTGTTATAAACTCTCAATATTGTACAATCAAGCTATATTATTTGTTTTACCTATCGCGTTTTTTCCGTGGCTGGGCTKAAAATCTATAATTACGTCATACGTTTACCTATGTGTTCATTTACATCATATTTCAAATTTTCAATGTCATTTTATAGGCTCTTAATGTAAATTGACTGTGGCCAATGTGGATAGACATAAAATACAAATTGCRTGGTCATTTTTAGGCTGCGTTTTCTCAATACTCGTTTTATACAGATTATAGGCGAGTTTAATTGATATGCATAATGACGAATGTAAATATGCATAGGGATAGCGTGATGAATTTCTATGAGGGGGGGGCTATAGCCTTAATATAAAATAAAAAATGTTTCAGATCTCATATACATGGACATAATTATGGGGAGCTTATAGCCCCCTTGGCCTTCACCCATTATACGCCTATGTAGATATGTATAATATAATTTATTATCTTTTATTATTTATAATCTAAATTATTAGTTATTTTATATATTTGTCGATATGATAATATTTATATAAGGGCCAGTTGTACCATCTCCGATTAAAATTTACYGGAGTTTAATCGGCCGAATTTGCCCGGTTAAATATCTGTTATCAGCTGATTAAGCATCATAATCGAAGTTTAACCGTAGACGGTACAACTGGCCCTAAGGCTTTATCCTTATGTGGCCGCCGCCGACGGTTGCATGAAACCCATTGCTCTATGGTGAAATTGGACCGGATACGACGTACAGCGAACCGACGCTGATATATACAGTGTTTCAACAAGAATACGGAAATAAAAATATTATAGAACGACGTGCGCTTACCGTACAGCAACCGGTACACTTAAACAGTGACCGCTTTTGCGAATCGGCTGACTTGCTCTTCGGCGTCACTGATTTGCCGCGGCAACAGCAGCAGCAGATCCGCTTGAAGAACTTTGGGACGGTACACCAGCCGCAACACCAACCACAGCAGCAGCAGCAGCGACGCGACCGCCTTTTCAACTTGCCRCAGAACGTGTCGGTAGCCATGGTCGGCGGAGCGATGCCGAGCGCCCCGACCGAATGGTCCGATGACGATGCTACCGTAGCAAGTTTCCTCTTGTTCGCCGCCGCCCGCTGGCCGCGGCAACAGCACAACTTGTCACTGCACCGCCGCCACCATTGTGGACGTCGTCGGCCGCCGGACGCGGCCTCTGCAGTGGACGCCGTCACGGCGGCTGTTCGCTTTTGGCCACAGCATTTTCCGCACGGCCGCGGCCGCCTTTTCCACACCGCCGCCCAGCACTTCAACACACGGCCATCTGCGGCAGTGGACGGTCGATGTCCACCGCGACCGCTTTCGCTGCCTCCACCGCATAGCTTCCGCGCATACCTTTTGTAGGCCGGATCTTTGGTGACCGATTCGGYCGACCGCGGGACTTCCGCCGGCACGATAGTCTTTTCGGATGGCCTGCACCGAAAAAACGAACAAATTCATCATAATATATATATATATTTAAACGTATACCAATATACCATAGCGGTTCGTTGATAAGAAATATAATATTTTCATTATTAGTGGCCATAAAAATATAAATTGTGTTCGATTTATTACTTTTGGGGGTTTTTTTTTTCACGATAAAAAAATTCATCCATTATGTACACCTATTACACCTATTATGTATAGATATGTGGGTATCTACTACCTACTGGCTGCTTCATGCAACACGAGGTCTTTTTTAAATCGGGTTTTTTTTTTTAATCCACGCAAACGATTGGTAAACGCCCGTCATTCATATAATGGCCTACCAATCTAATATAGTGATATATTATCCATAGCATGACTGTACACATATTAGGTACCCATACACTATAATAATTATAGTACCTATTACGAGCGACTCTTTGCGGCTATTACCGACCCCCCAACATCACGCAAAGTTTACTCGCTTTCATTTGGAAACGGGTGATTTGAACATTTTGAGCTATAAATATATAGTTAGTATATATGTTGCATGGATACATAAAGTAAACGTCAATTTGCTAATGGACCGAAAATAAAATCGACCATCTCCCTCAAATGTTGTTAAAATATTATGTGTATAGAGATACGATCATTAGAATAAGATAAGATTTAGGAGTTCATGCGGTGGTTGTATTTATATATGTATATGCTAAATTATTCAAAGATTCAATACCTAACAGTTAGATCACACGTCTATAAGAAAATTCAGGACGTAGAATAAATAAAATAACACGCAGAATAAATAAAATAACACGCCGTATCTATAATGAGCATACTGTAGCAATTGTCGCATTTATTAAACAGACATTTAGAATAAGTAGTATTTATTTATTATTTTTCAAGTTATAATAGGATATAAATTYCAAATGATGTATATATAACAGACAAAAAGTAATACATATCTAAGTACATAAAAATTGTAAAATTACTGGTCT